GGTAGCCCCCAACAATAGAGATTGGTGTATAACTATTTTGTTTTTGGTTGAAATACATTTTTTTAATTCTGTAATAGTATGTAATGATAAAGATTTAAAGTTAATGAAAAATGTCTTTTAAACATACGTTTTTAAGCAACATTTTCCATCCTATGTTGTATTTACATAATTCACATCAGATGGTACCATCATTAAACAATAATTTCGTTGATGAGAGGCAATAAGTATATTCATGTATAATTTGAGCCTATTAATGCTAAGCAGCTTTTGATTATACTAATGTTAAAGACTTGCTGCCCGTGGTTTATTGCACCGCGCGCAGCGAGTCTAACATTAGCACAGTACTCACACCCACATGTGTGTCGGTTACACTGGCTTTCATTCTTCCGGCTGGCATAATTTCCTTGTGCCTCTTCTATTGTATTTCATTACTTAATGTTAATCTAAGTGACAGATGATAACTGAGCATACATCCTAGCTGTCGATATAAATGGTCACTATATATAGACCATATCTATAATCCATAAAAGCTCAATATTTATATGTCGGTTAGCATCAGTGTAGACTGAGCACAATTTTAAAACAATCTCGAGTTCCAAACTTCACAATGTCAAAAAATGGGTAACATAGTTACATTATGAGTACTGAGTCACCCTGAACATCTGCATTGTACTGCTATATATATATATATATATATATATATATATATATATATATATATATATATATATATATAATAATATATATATACAATACAGTATTTGTCCGCGTTCCAGGTCTTAAGTTTGCATCTTAACCAGAGCCAAAATTTGTGAAATAACACACACTGTTGGTTTTCTGGTTGGTACTAACGTGTAGTAGCGTAGTAATATTAAAACGATAAAATGCACAATGACGTTATCAAAAGTTTTCCAGAATCTGGCCTCTGAAAGTAGTGACCGATTAATGTGAAAGGTTTAATAATTTTTGAGATTTCAAAGTGGAATTTCGTTTTAATGATTCATCGGCTTTTCGTTTATTTTAAAATATATTATATTATACTTGTGTGAAATTATTATTTAAAAAAATGTTACCCCACAATAGGATTTTCTCCTGAATCGTGGAGGCAGTTTGCAACTGTAAATTGCACCAGGACAAATATATAATATATTATATAGAGCATAGATGAGCCACTCTAATTATTTGGCGACGAAACGAGGAAAGTTTCTTCACGGTCATAGATTTCGTTGGGATAATAAATGACTAAAAAATACACTAAAGGCCGCTATTAATTTAGTTTAGTATTATTTTATATATTTTTATAAAATTAATAGGAAATGTTTTTAAAATAGAAACTAATGAATTTACATTTGCATTATATAATACAATTTTTCACATAGCTTCTGTTAAAAAAAATGGTTGGAATTGCAACGTTTGTTTTATTAGTTATTCTGTATATGTACCGCAATATTTCAAAACTTTGATAGCGTGATTTAGACCGATATATTATAATATTATATAATAAATATCAGCAGTAACGCCATCTTTTGAATAAAATGTGAAAATTTGCTGGGGAAAATAGTGCCTTTACTGACTATGAGGTGGCGTTCATATCAACGTAAAAGCAAGCTACTGAGAACTTTCATACGCCTGAGGACAAACATCCAGACGCGGAACAGTTGATTGTAAGCCATATAGATACTTGTTTCATGCGGAATTCAAACCCGTGGCGCTCAGCGCTGTAACTCGATGCTAAGTCACTGCGCCAAGAAGCCGTCATCATTTATGTGCTTAACTTTGAGTTGATCCATCAACATCCTTAGGTTCCAATTCTGTATCGGAGACCTCCCTATGTACTCCAATTACAATATATGTACCATTTTAGATATGAATTCTATTTGGGTGGGAAAATATGTGTATTTTACTGTAATAAAATAAAATATGGCGTAAATATTCGGTGGTCTAATTTTATTGTCATGAACTTGGAGCTTTCACGAGACTATACTTGAAGAACATAATCCAATTTACAAACTAATCTAAACCTTGACAGCTCACCACAGATTAATGTTAGTATCTGTCACAGGTTAAAAAAAGTGAAACAAAATAAATACACTATATTTATTCTATTTATAAAAATGCACATTTTGAACACGATTACCTTGACGGGATCAAGTTTGAGATGTGAACTTTACACTTTCAACTCTAAAACTTCTTAAAAAATAAAATAAACACAATATCTTGAGAATGCACAGTGCCCGCATTGCATTTCCAAGACATAAACTGATTGGGCGATAAAATAATAACTTACGGCTAAAACACACGCGTGGTTATGTTATGAATCATTTATATCAGCTTTGCTTATCAATAAAATCAATTCATATATGTAATCTGTCTGTCGCTAATTTGTAATTTTTGATAAATGACTACTTGTTTTACTTGGTGGTAAATGGTGATGAATCTTCAGATGGTAAATCACATAGTATTAGCGTAACAAAAGCCTATTTAAATAAAGCAGTATCTTTCCCAAGTCTATTTACTATAATAACAATCCTAAACAATGGTAGATTGAACACTGGATATGTTTTGTTTTAACAAGAGGTAATAATGCCTCATGCACTTCTAGTAACTACTGCATAAACTTTGATTATTCAACATAATGGCTTTAGGTCCAGATCTTTTATAATGCAGTAAAATAAACAAAATTGTGACAATAGTGCCATAAATACAGTTGAAGACGTAATTCGTAACGGAAAAAAGATTTTACTATCATAAAATGTTATCAAATTGCACTGGAATAGCGCAGTTATTCTTATCTTTGCAGTTTTTTACCTTATACATGACAGACAATATTTTTGTAAGGTATCCATAGCAACCACAAATTATAGAAATTTAATAACTGCACACTGATTAATTTTTAAAAATATAGTCCTTTTAAAAAGACGATAATGTTTGAAAACAAAGCATCACAACTCATAACAAACCCACTTCAAATACATCTACAAGTCACATGGTTAAAAATCTTATACTACACCACGTCGCATGTTAAAATCATGTTACCTTCAACGGTAAACGGGGTCAAACGTTAACAAGAGTTGAGTTGAACTGTTGTTACGTTCAAACACACACTTCTACATCTCACTCAAAAATATATTATTTACAAAATAAAATTTTTGTTGTTTTTTTGTTACTATATAACACATAACCAGCAATAACCGCTTCACACAAGCGTAAAAAAAGAACTGCCTCATTTCATTTTAAAATACATCAATTATGTATATATTGTTTATTTTGTTATGAAATAACATTTTACACTTGTGTGTGTGTGTGTTATTCAGCAATCTTGTTTATATATTTTTTACAACAAAATACGAGCTATGCTAATTACTAAATTTCTTTTATCCATACTGATATTCTCCTTATCCACAACAAGAAAGCTTAAATTTTTGACAACAGTAGCCCAATGGTAGAGTGACTAACGAGAGTGGAGAAACTAACGACTTTCTAAGCTCGCGGTCAGTCCGCTAACCGTTACACTACTGTTGCTTCAAATAGTAACAGACTTGTTTTTTATATTAATGTACAGTGGACCCCCGGTAATCCAGCCCCCTGAAATCCGACATGGCTATAACATGTAGGTGGCTATAACATGGAAAAACAACCTAACTAGTTCGCACCACCAGGAATATTTGCTTAACGCGTATTGTCTCCGTTTGAATGTGTCTATGGTATCGGATTAGCGGACGTATTAACATATTCATAGTGCATCACATGATTTTTTTTTTAATTATTTTCTATTTGATATGTAGTTTGTCGGATTACAAGGTACTTTTTTCAAAAAGTTCTGAATTTTTTCATAACTTTTTCAGAAAAGTACCTTCTTGTTGTGGTTATCAGGGGGCTAAATCAGTATTCTATAATCCGACAAATTTCGACACAGCCTTGCTAAACGTTTGTCGGATTAACGCGGGTCCTGTATTAAGATCAAATGTATTTTAAGTGTATACATGATTTACGAATGATTTCATAGTACAGCGATATACAATTAGCATGATAAAATTTTCCATTATTTTTGTTTTCTAATCAATCAAAGGCCACACAAATTAATAACTAAATGCTGTTTATATTAACAATATCTCTCAATCATCTTTGTTTAGTAGCTTTAGCCGACGCATTCGTGAATTTCAGTCACAGATTTGACACCAATGCTTATCTGCAATGGTAGATATCTACAACTTTTCAATATCAATACCAAAACCATAGACAATCATATTTTTTTATAAATCTAAATTAAAGACATGTCTACACTCTACATTCGTCTCTGTGCAAATCTAGCACGTTAGTCTATTTAATCTATATTACAAAATGATTTTGTGTTGTTCTGTACCGTGAATAGAGTACTCTCTCCACTTAAAGGCATGTTTACTGTTTTGTTTGAGTGTAGGTGATATGTTTTAAGGGTTCTCATCAAACCTTAATTATTTGTTTAGTTTCCTATTTTGTATTATAGCAGTGATTAAAACTGTTTACTCTGCACTGATATATCTCGTGGTTATATACTGTTACGTATAAGAGTGAAAACTTTTATACATCCAACATTCGATAATTGTATTGATGAAATTATAACAAGATTAAAAAAAAGCTGTTTCCGATTGTTCTTCAAAGAGGTCTCACTTTGCAAACTGGTATAGAATTTGACATTCATAAAAGTTTACTACTCACAAACTCAAATTAATCAGATGTTTAACTTTTGCAGATGTAATATATTGGATGACGATGGAGGCAGTGAGAACTTTCTATAGGAAATCCAGTCTCCTTTATGATGATGATATGTGGTTATTGATACAACACCATCATCACCAAGGAACATTTTACAACACCAGGTTAAACAGTATTCATAAATAACGTTACATGGCTTATAAACTCTTGTAAATTGTCGTAAAACAATCACCTATATTTTAACAGAATATTAGATAACATTGAAACAGTAAACAGAGTTCCATCACGCACAAGCTTGTACTTACATAACCACACACCGCTTGTTGTCCCTCTCTGGCACAAGCGTGGGAGTGGGTGTGGGAGTGGAAACGAGTGTAGGCGCGGGAGTCGACTTAATGGTCTCCGGGTCGAAGGGCTCTGCGGCCACCACGGGAACCGTGAGCGGCAGATCGGAGTTGATGCCGACGATCTGGGCAAGAAACACACAGTTGAAAGAACAAATTTGAAAATACGAAATGTGTTGGAAGAGCCATAATTGTTCGTGTGACGAATTTCTTTTTCCTTTTTTTTATCTTTTTCGTTCCAATTCACAACGATTGTAAAGATACAATCGTGAATCGGAACGAAAAATATACACTAAATATAAATAAATATATATAAAATATATATATATATATATATATATATATATATATATATATATATATATATATAAAATTTAGCCTGCGAGATTAGAATGAGATAGAATACAGAGTATGCAGTGTGTAATAAAAATTTATTTATATTTTATTAACATAAACCTTACAATTATTCCACTCCCGATATGCTCCATTCGTTTCATTCTCTCGAAGTTTAGTTTTATGAAAGTTTCACTTCTACCGCGTTTGAATTGCATATGATTTTTAAATTACTTTAAAGGCCTTGAGATATTATTATTATCAACTGTGTATAGGGTTAAGTTGTCATCAAAATATTTCAAGAACTTGGGAATATAAGGCATGAGCATGATACTGTGAAGTTTTGTGAACAAAATACATATCAGAATGAGTTGTATGGTCTAAGACCTTTGCCTGCCTGCCTTAAATGGCAAATACAACAAACAAATAATATACAGACTTCTGTATTTTTTTAATGTAGGTAAATCCTCATGGATACTTTGTGCTGCGGTGGCAACGGAAAAATTATGTCGGATTCAACCGGTAAACCCACAGTGGTCATCATCAGCGTATACGATAGGTCGTGGGATCTCCGTTTGGAATGTTTGACCGGAAATTTTGAACAAAAACTGTCACAGCTGCATAAACTTATTATACTACTGCGTATGGACCGGGTCATTGAACAAACAAAATGGCACCAACTCCCTGATGCGAAAATGGTTATGGACGCACGCGAGCACCAATGCGCGATGTTTCCACTTTTAGATATTTGCACTATTTTAGGGTAAATCGACTAAAATAGGTAGGGCTTTAGGCGTTTCTTCAAGTTTACAGGGTTTGGATAATTTGGGAACCGAACTTCAGGTAACCCTGTTTTTTATACCTAGCCAATGTAATTTTTTTAAAGATGGGATAGGTTCAAAAGAGGTATATCGGAATAATGGTATAATATTTTACTTAGTTACATATTCGTTATTCATATGAGACTAAGTGTTATTATAATCTGTAAATGAGAATGTGTTCTTTATCACAAAACTCAAGATTTTTAATCGTGAAATGATATTCAAATCTTGCAGTGAAGTTGTTATTTAAAAGATTGAAAATTATGTGCAATAAATAAGGCTATTTTGACGATGAATTAGGACGTATTTTTACAGGAAGTATAACTTGGCCTCTAGGGCTTCAAAAGATTTATTGTCAAGGCAAAGTATGAGTACGTTGGCAGAATTGGCGAGAAATTAGTTCTCCTTTAAGGTCTTAAGACCTGGCAACTATAGCCGTAGCGCTGAGTAGAGCTTCGTCAACTAAGGCCGCAATTTTAATCGTTGGAAATATTTACTTTAGTACAGTATATTTCGATTAGTATAAAGTTCGCCCATTATTATCATACTAGATCGTTAACTCTTTATAAAACGTAAAAAAAGAAATATCCTATCTCTGGAGAAAAAATAATGGAGAATAAAAATGTCTGCATGCTTGCCATATGGACTTGCCCAGATTATGCAGTAAAAGTACTAAAAATCTACAAAGACGACAAATTTTGGATTTTTAATGTGTGCCTGAAATTATTGACCCGAGATAAGCTAATGCCGTTGTAGCAAATATTTTTATAATAAAAAATATGGTAATTGCCTGTAGTACCGATTAAAAAAATATTAGTTACAGTTGGTTATTTTATTTATTAAAACAGGTTGCAACTGTTAGTAGATATAATCGATTATTAACCAACATCGGTTAACAATTGATTACTGTGAAACAATTCACGTTAAGCCTTTTTAATTCATGTTAAACCATATGCTAAGGTGTTAATTGAAAGAGTTATGAAAGAAACTGATGGAAAAATTTGGGATGTGCAAGCGGGTTTTAGAAAGGGAATGGGGTGTACAGATCAAGTCTTTTCCATGCGCATGATTGCGGAGAAGTTTTTGGCCAAAAACCAGAAAGTTTTTTGTGCGTTCATGGACTTGGAAAAGGCTTATGACAGAGTGGACAGGAATGTGTTATGGCAAACACTGAACTCATATGGGTTGAGCGCTGGTTTGATACAGGCATTAAGGTCTCTTTATAGGGACTCTAGTGCTTGTGTCAGGATCAATGGGGTCTACTCGGACTGGTTTGGCATCCAAAAAGGTGTCAGACAGGGCTGTGTGGCTTCCCTTTGGCTGTTCAACCTATTTATGGACCGGTGTTTGCAAACTTTGAAAGATGAAGAATGTGGGTTAAGAATGGGCGAGTTAACCGTCAAATGCCTTTTGTATGCCGATGATCAAGTCATACTTGCGTCATCGGCGGCAGAGTTGCAAATGATGGTTACATTAATGAACTGGGAATTAAAAGAAAGGGGAATGAAAGTGAACGCAAGTAAGACGAAAGTAATGGTTTTTGAAAGAGAAGAAAGCAAAACGGTATGTGAAATAAGAAAAGAATGAACTCTCATTGAGCAAGTGGATGAGTTTGTGTATTTGGGATGTGTATTTAGCAGGGATGGTAGATATGATAGGGATATAGAACGACGAGTAAATGCAGGGAATAGAGTGAATGGGGCACTACACTCTATTATGAAGAACCAGAATTTGTCAAAACAGGCACGTATGGTAATTCATAATGCTGTGTTAGTCCATACTTTAATGTATGGTAGTGAAAGCTGGGTGTGGCAGAAGAAGCACGAAAGTAGAATAAATGCTGTAGAAATGCGGTCTTTAAGGAATATGCTAGGGTGTAATCTGAATGACAGGGTGAGAAATTGCGTGATAAGAGATAAATGTGGTATGCAAGATGATGTTGTGACCAGGATTAAGAAAGGAATGCTTCGGTGGTTTGGTCACGTAGAAAGAATGAATGAGGAAAGAGTGACAAAGCAAATTTATATGGCAGATGTGAATGGCCGAGTCGGGAAGGGACGCCCTAGGAAAAAGTTTATCGACCAAATTGGCGATATTTTGAAAATGGGCCACGTTAGAAGTACCCTTAACCGACGAGCATGTATGCGTAGATATATGGATGTAAAGGAGGCGAAAGAGGTATGTCAGGATCGTGCCAAATGGAAGTCCGTAGTCTCTGCCTACCCCTCTGGGTGACAGGCGTGAGTGTTTATGTATGTATATGTATTATGAAACAATTCAAATATTTATGTGTACTTATTTCAAAACTAAGGTTCATAAGTAACAAAAAATATATCAAATAGATTATAATAAATTAATTAGATAACATAAAAATGACATCAAAATTTTTGCATCCACTTAACTCCATCTTAATAAAACTTGTAAAATGAAATTTAGCTCATAAGAGTATGTTGGGTTACTAAAGTCTCAAATAAAAAACAAAATTAAAGTAAACTATAAAAAAGTAAACTCTGCTTCGGTTTAACAGTTAAAAGCCTAAGTTAAATATCAGCCTTAAGTTTAGTTGCAACTGGATTTTTGCGATTAAGAATCAAAATGCAAGTGTGTTGCCTCACCCCTAAGGACTAAGAGGTAATGCCTTGTTTTACCGTACGAAACACAGTGGCTTTAAGCTGCCATTTTACACTGGTATTCTGTGAGAGCGTGGTGTTGTAGTCAGAATTATTGTAAACACGTTCACCTCACACCCGCGCGTTGCACCTGCAGTGGCGCTCGTGTAGCTCGTATTGTCATCTACTATCGGACTACTGTTGTTTATCCCATGCAGGTTTCGGGCCTCGGGGAGTACCCCATTACCCGGGTAATCCTCACAGCCCATATCTATGGGCCGGTCTTGGGAGCCGTACATGTACGACATTGTCGGTAATCTTCATTGGCGTATTGCGCGCCACCAGGTCGGTGCTACCGGAGGGTCGGCCGTCTCAAAGCCCCGCGGAGTCCCGAGGTAAGGAGTCGACGCAGGGCCAATCTTGCCGACAGGAGTGCGCTCCGGACAGCAGCTGTTCCGGGCCTCCAGCGCTCCTTCCTGGCTCTAGGTGATGGCCTGGTATCCCTAGGTAAGTTGGCGTATATCGCGCCTCTGGGAAGGGATCTGCCGAAGGGTCAGCAACCTCCAGGTCCCGCGGAGACGCATCTCAACGCGGAGCCGAAGTCACCAACAGGCGCGCGCTCCCAGCAGCGCGCCGGGCCTTCGGAGTTCGCTTCCCAGCATATAGGTGAAACGCAGCGTTAGGTGATCTTCATCCCGGGTGGGGTCAGGGGCGTCCTCAAGGCTCCACGCAAGCCGAGTTGGCCCCACAGCACGTGCACCCACTGCGAAGCGACGCGCTGTACTTCTCCCACCCGGGCGGCAGTCGACGACCGGCGGACGATACCGCTCGCTAGCGCGGTCCGGACGAGACTCATCGTGTAGCTACTTGTCTCGATTGTATAAAACGGACGGAGCGGCGCCGTTAACGCAGTCATGGCTCTGGCGTGGCACGGTGCACTTGTTGTATCCCGCTACTAGGTCATCCTCGACTCTTTGGATAATTAATTCGTGAAAACGAATTAATTATTATTCTCAGCTATTAAATTAGCAGCAGGACAATTTATAGTTGATTAGTTGTGATCTGTATATTTCATAGTTGTGTAAAAGTACTAAATTGTCAATTAATTCTACTTAAAAAAATGTCCCGCTGGGTTTCTTCCCAGAACGGAGGTTTTCTTGGAACCAGTGGTAGAAGTACTATATTGAATAAAAATGATTGTATGCTATTCCGAAAGCCTTTTACGTAGTAACCCTACATTACACATTATTAGTAACTACCTTCCTACACATGTGCTATATTTAATATAGCTGCAGCGTTGTTCTATCACGTACGAAATTTTCTTTTATACTTTGTTTGTGTTAAGTTACTAGTTGATCGGAATGAGGGTTAGGGAATATAGAGTGCACTTAAGTGTACACTTGTGGATTATAATTGTGTTGTGAGCAGATGGGTAATTTTTGTAGAGACTGATTTCTGTGATTGAAAGTTGGTGTGAATATTATTAGAGAACATTATTATTACCTTGTGAGGTTAGCTAATAGGAAATTGTAGTTTCAATTACGTGAGAAAGCATCAAGCTAGTTAAGTTACAGTCTATATACATTTCAGTGTCGGGCATTGGTTTCCCTTCATATCTGAGAGGGGTTTAGGGTAAGGAAATGTCTACCGTACTTCTTCAATGTGTGTTGGTGAATTTTAGGTCTTTGAATTTTTTTATAATTTTCAGACGTGCAAGTGCACTTCATGATGTTGTCCTTCATCGCCGAACATGTGGTATAAATTAGCATTTAAAATTACAATTGATAATTTTATTGCTGATCGAATTGGGATTGTAATTTACAGCGAGCGCTAGTTATCTGAGTTATGGCGGGTGGGCCGTGGCGGGCACGGAGTAAATGTTGATTTCATTAAGTTACATAGTTTTGTATGCATAGCGTAGGATCGTAGGATGTGATATTGGTGTAAGGGCAGTAGTGTGGAACTAGTAGACAAAGGACAGGAGTCCAGTGTAGCAGTGGGCTGACCTCTGCGGCGCGCCGCGGCGTGGAGTGCGCGTGCGTGCGGAAGGGGTGCGCCAGGCGCTGCAGCAGGCGCGCGCGCTTGGGCGCCTCGGGCTCCTCGCCTCCCGCGTCCGCAGCCCCCGCGCTCTCCGCGCCGTCCGGCCGCCGCTTGCGCCCCACCACCGTGCCCGTGGGCCGCGACGGCATACTCTCGCTTCCTAAACAACAACGTTATACTATAATTAATATAGTCACCCATTACTTTGCATTGATAAATTATATTAAACTTGGTAAATCTTACTTCACTCGTATACTATCGATGAAATAAAATAATGTATTTGCATTAACGACTTCTATAAATCTGTTTTAGCGGACTAACCTGAGAATTCTTCATGTTAAGGCAAAATGCCATCAAAAACATAACTTGTAAAAAAAAACCAAGTCTCGCAACTCAGTTCTTATACCGTAAAAAGTTGTGAGATCCATGTAATCTCAAGTCAGTTAATATATTCAGTCCCTACTTTAGGGTCCTTCTGTTTTAAGTTATTACGTAATTAGCTAATCTGACAACATTTTAGAGTGACCATATCATTGTCAAAAATCTTTTATGTTTTAAATATATAGATTGACTTGGCATTCGCACTAAGCAACCTAATTTAATATCATATGCATTAGTCCTCCTATCCTAGTTTTGATTTATTCACTGCAAATGTAATTTAATGTAAAATCGTAATTCTATATATTTATATAGGATTACAAAGTTATTTAGGCAGTTGTTGTATCTAGAAAACTGGACCGAAATTAAAAAATATTTAGTTTTTCCTTGATTTATACCCTAAACACTAATTGTATTCTAAATTTGAAGCTTCTATGTCTGCTAGAAGTGCCTTAGAGTTTTGATGATCGGTCAGTGAGTGACAAAATTAAGAAACTTTGACTACTTATAATTCTTTAACTACTGGTTCAAATTGAATGAAATTTGAAATATACCATGTTCATACAAAGCCTACTGGTTACTGGAAATTCAGGCTTTTGGTTTTATCCACAACGAAGTTATAGGTGGTCGAAAATGGCCTAAATTGCTTCGAGAAAAGTATGCCGTGCACGGCCGTACCGCTTTTGTGCTCGACTTGGCGAGGGCACTGCCGTGCCCCCAGACACGTGTCGTAATATCATCCATGGTGTCTTTCCCAGTGTAGTAGTATTAAGAGCAGTAGTGAAGGGATAAATGATGACAAAATCATGCACGCAATCGAGGGAAAACGAGACGTGCTGTTTAAACTAAGTAAAACACACCACTTCATTTCATAGAACAAACACAAGCAAAGTAATTTTTACCAACTTTAACAACATACCTAATATTTAAAAACACAATGTCTTCACCTTCACCTGTATATAATACACAAATGTAACTAATCGCATTACAACCTATTTAAAGGCCACTGCTAAAGAATCTTTTAAAAGCCTTTCCCCGTAAGAAGCATTTGCATAAATTGCCTCATATATATACACTGCCGGCCAAAAGTTTAAGTCCACCTTAATTAAAGTAGAAAATTAAATAAAACTCCAATAAAATATTAAACGTTTAATTAAACTGTTAGATCACCCAATAAAACACTTTTTGACAATCAATATACTTGAAAAGCAAGCATAAAGAAATATTAACAGTCCATGCTAAAAAAGGCTATAGTTAGCAAAACAGATTTTTCATCCAAGAAATCCTCCTTTGCATTCTATGACATTTCACAAGTCGCGGCATACGGGTAATCCATTTGTTGATAGTGTCTTGTGGTATATTGCTCCAAATTTCGCACAAAGCATTTCATATTTCTTCTCGCGAGGATGAATTACAATTACTGACGTTCCTATCAAGGTCTTTCTAGAAAAGTTCAATGGGATTGAGATCCGGGCTCTGAGGAGACCAAATAATGTTTTTAACACCCCTTGTACCTCTTTTTCTTCCAAATATCCTCTGCATAACTTTGAGCTACACTTAGGATCATTGTGCTGTTGGAAAATGAATCCACCTCAAATTAATCGCAATCCAGAAGGAACGGCATTTTGTTCTAAAATTTTTTTGTACTATTCTTTTTTCATAATTCCATCAATTTTGATCAAATCGGCAGTTCCTTGGCTAGAAAAGCAATTCCAGACCATAATTGAGCCACCACCATGCTTGATTGTTGGGACTACACAGTTTGGCATCATGTTTTCTTGATCACTGCGTCGAACGTAAATTCTTCGTTTTGAACCGAATAGCTCAAACTTGGATTTATCGGTCCAAAAAACTTTTTTAAAATCTTCTTCAGACCAATCTCGATGGGCAAGAGCCCATTGCATCCGTTTTTTCTTGTTTTGTTGCCTTAGCAGAGGTTTTCGAACGGCGACACGACCATACAATTTGGCATCTCTCAGTCGCCGTTTTACTTGTAGTCAATGATAAAGGTTTAACTCGGGTTTTGTTTAATTCAACGCGGATTTCCGGTGTTGTTAAGCTTCTATTTGGCTTGCTGGTAACAACAACGAAATGATCTTAACTTGAAGCGGTAGCTCTAGGCCTTCCCGAGCGTGGACAATCTCGAAAAGTGCCTGTCTCCCTGTATCGAGTTTTGTGCCATGAACACAAGTCTTCGATAACTATTGTAAAGCAATCTTAAGAAAATTGTTTAGAGGGTAAAATAAAAATGTTTTTGTTTTGAATGAAGGGCTTTTTTATTTTTTACATGTAGTGGGTATGGCCTGTATTTCAAAATAAAATAAAAATATGGTTGTCGCTTTAGTTTACGAAATAGGATTATTTGAAACAAAAAAAAAACGTTCTAAAATGCCATAGTCCGTTTAACATTTATTTTAAAATAACTACAGCCAAAACTTATCAAACTTCTAACAAATGCAAAGAAACCAGTGGCGAAGCTAGAGCTCCAAGCTAGGGCAAGCCCAAGATATAAATTGATAAAAATATAGATTGTTGTTTTTAGCAGTTTTATAAAAATACACCAATCTTGATCTGTCTCCACGCTTCAGTTTCATATTCAGTGCTGTCAAGGACGTGTTTAACAAAGCACACAGAAGGCATACCACTGCTAGATAGATTGTATTACATATCAGCAATTGCATAGCTTCGGTGGCTTTGAAGAAAGCCGTTTGGGTTTGTTTAAGCGAAAGAAAAAAAATATTTACATCCAATACAATACTAAAAAACAAGTACACCTATGTACAAAATTAAAAAAAAATTATTTACATTCTAATGGATAAGAGATAAGATAAGTGGAATCGTCTCGCTTTCTTATGGAAAGATTTAATTACGTGCATGTAAAATGTTGGTGAACTTTTTAATTGTACCAATAACTGTTTTTAATTGCGATAATTGATAAGTCTGAAATACACTCTTAACCTTGTGTATTATCTCAACAAATTTTAAAGATTTCCGCTCCGATTATCACTTTAACACACTTCAATTCATCACAAGGAACACTAATATCCTCCATTTTCATTAAAAATCTATAAAAAAACATAAATTTTGAACTAGTAATATTAAATCGCTTAAGATAAGCACACAGAGTAAATAAACATTGAAACGTGAAATGAACTTGCAAACGTATTGCCCGCGCGCCTCCGCTTTTAACAAATTTATTCCCAAAAGCCTGGCTTTAAATCTCTATACTAATTGGTATATATACAATCGTAGTTATATTTCATTATAGAATATTTTGCCATAGGTTAGAAAGAGAGCGATCGTCTTCTCGAAAGCCTCATAAAAAGCCCACGCGAGCGAGGGAGACAACTATTAGCTCTATTAAAACTCATTATTTATGACAGCAGCAGTATCGCTAAGGCAATACGAGGTCATCGGTCGACATGTGTCGAACAGTGGAGTGCGCGGGAAATTTGAAATAGCTTGAAACATTTTACGAGTTATTTTATTAGTTGATATTATTGATTGATATTATTAATTGATTCAGGTTTAATAAGGCAAGCCCGGCTTTTCGGCTTTAATGGAAGCTTCGCCACTGAAAGAAACCCTCAACAGCTAAACAAAAAACAACACTTGAGTATTATATTACAAAAACTGTAACCATAACGTGTTTATTAGCGATGATAAGCGACAACACGAGATGATATCGGTGGCGATCTAGGGTGGAAAGAAATTGGGGCTTTATCGGGGCAGACCTTAGAGCGGAACGCATGCGCGGGAGAGCGCTTCAAAATGCCTACTCTCTGAAAACACCAACATGTTGATTTGGCATTAGCCCTCTCAGTTAATTTATTCGAAAATAGAAAAAAGAGGAGTTTCTGGGTGAAAAAATGGCTCCAAAAGAGACAATAAATAAGCCACATAAACGTACTAAATGATCTAAGAGTCCAAAGACATGACTAATTTTTTCCAGATGGTTGAAAACAGTTTTAACAATCTTCTACAAATGATATCGCCACTTACAGAAAAATAGAGTACGGTGACGAGAGAAGCTATAACAAGCCCAAGAAAACGGTTTATTACAACTTTGCGATATTTGGCCACTGGGAAAATTTATGGATAATTTATAAAATTCAGGGCTTTCATATTGCCTTACTTAGTGTCGACAATGATTCCCGAGACATGTCGGGCTATCTACGAATGCCTTAAACATTATATTAAGATAAATAAGGGATAAAGGCCCGGGTCCCACCAAAGCAGAGATGCGTGAGAGGAGAGATACTGATGTTTTATCTTTCTCCTACATATGCTATTTAGTTACTTCTTCTCTTTTTTTTCTGCTTGGAAAATCATATTTAGTGTGGTGTTCCTCGTGTCTCTATTAAAATAATTTTTATTTTGTTTATCCCGCATATGTGGATTTAGTTTATAAATATCTATAATTTCAATCAATGCTTCCCATTCTTCTTCGGAAACTAATTTGCAGAGAGTATATAATCACTGTTTTGTTAACATCTTTCCGCGAGGGCTGCTGGTAGCGACTGTCAAAAGAAATCGGGCCGATGCGCCTACAGACACGCAGTACGGAGGGGGCGGGGCCCCGATCTAGGAAGCATCGGCTGCATTTTTGCTCCTGCCAGCCAATTAAGGAGGCGATATCGGTCACGACTTAGGATGACCCTACATACGACACGATTTAGAGGCAATCTAGGAGGCATCCCCACCACGTCACCCTAGATCGCCATCGATATCATCTCGCATGTAGCCCGCTATAACTATCTATATTCATAGCTGTCTATTTTCCATGTAACGTAAGCCTCAGTCGTATCGCGTTTTCTGAGAATCGTATCTAAATCAGATTTCGAGTTTAAAGCCGAAGGACAGATGGTCGGTAATAATGAGTATGTTCCGAAATACAACTCAGTACACTGGCAAATGCAAATGACGTCATCAATTGACACTATATTGTACTGGCGTGCCGCCGCCATATTGCGTCGGATATCCGGCCACAATAAAACAATTTTTAATTGTGTGTGCGCTGAATGAACTATGCCAGAATTTGTTTTTATTTATTCAAATACAAAAAATTATAGAATAATTACTGGTATCTTCATTAGGAGGATATAATGATTTTTGGAGCACAAAATAACAGAATAATTGTCAACACTTTTCCAATATGGTGCAAATGTATGACGTCATATACTGTCCTATGTTTTGAAACGAATCACCAGTATAGCGTCGATACATGACGTCATTCGCATTCGACAGTGTACTGGGTTGTATTTCGGAACATACCCAATATTTCGTCATAACAAGGTGAAAGCTGTTAATGCAGTTTAATCCTTACATTTAAGGGTATAAAGTGTTATTTTTCTATATATGACAAAAAACCGTATTACTGTGTAGATATTAATAATAAACGCACAAGGTTTAAAGTGCTTTGTTAGAGACACATTGCCATTTTGAAATAGATATACAAGTATCTATACGAAAAATAAAGAAATAAACTTATTTCTCGAATTTCGCTTTTCGCTTCGCTCACCTACACGTTTCAACATGGGGCCCGCTAGTTTCGTTCGTATCGTTACGGCATAACATTTGTTTTTGTACGGCAGTGAGTGCGTGATGTTATAATATCACGATCCGGCCCGTTAGAAGCCAACGCAACGTTGCAGCGTTGCGGTTCATAGGTACTCTATGCGTTGCGGATCGTTGCAAGAAATAGACAGTTATGAGTGTTATATGTATAACTCTGTGCGTTGCGTTGCGAATCGTTACAAGAAATAGATTAGATTAGATTAATTTTGATTTAGATACCTAGTGTTTTACAAACTCGCCCTATTATGTCCGTAACGCCGACCTCCACCGAGACTTAGAGCTCCCAACAATTCAGCAGTTCCTCAAACCACTCCATGAGAGATTCTTCAAATCCTTAGAGTCCCACTCAAATCGCCTCATTCGCGAGACAGCTGCCTATGCAGCCCTCTTCACACTCGCTATAGTGTGCGCAGACCGAGAAACTCTCTCTCGGACCACCCCAACAAGCTTTCGACTGACCTGAACTGCCTTCTGACGGCTCAGGCCGAGCCTATTTAACACATCTCGTAATCTGTCTTTGTTAGGCACACTTCTAAGCGGCTACTCGTCGCTTGCGCTCTCCTTTCTGCCAAGGAGGGTCACGTCCGTTTACGACTTAAAGATCTCTCGTCAGATCGTTAAGCCAATCCCAAAAGGTGGTGTTTAGTGGGTAAAATTCTCCACATAACCACGCAGCCGGCTGCGTGGTAAGCTATGAGCATACACCACCTCCCTCCCCCGTAACCGGAGGGTTACCCTTATTGCTTCGGGCGCAAAAAAACCTAGTGTTTATATGAATCCGAGACACCACTGCATCACGCGTTTGCTTAACGCCAAAATCGGCGGGAAAATGTATTTGAAAATGTGTTATTGGACAATAAGCATGTATTGTTCAAACAACGACAAATACTGGCGATAATTAGGATTATATAGCTTATACTTTATTTATTATCGTATAAAACACGTCTTCCGACTTATTATTACCTGAGTTTACATGGTTTTGTTCACAAACAATCTGAATAAGTCTAAACTTGTGGTTTCTACAGTGAAGACGTCTTAAAATGGGAAAAGCACGCGAAATTAGCAGTGAAGTGCGTTCTGCCATCGTTGTTTTACATAATTAAGGCAAATCCGAACGCGAGATTGCTTTACAGTTGAAGTTATCGAAGACTTGTGTTCATGCGCAGTAACTCGATACAGGGGGACAGGAACTTTTCTAGATCGTCGCGTCGTTCGTCAATCGTTCAAGGCCGAGAGCTACCACGTCAAGTGAAGATCATTTCAATGTTGTTACCAACAAGCGAAATAGACGCTTAACAGCACCAGAAATCCGTGTTGAAGTAAACAAAACCCGAGTTAAACCTTTATCATTGACTAGACTAGACTTCTTCATTGAAAGTGTTTTATTGGATGATTTAACAGTTTAATTAAACATTTAATATTTTATTGGAGTTTTATATAATTTTTCTACTTTAATTAACGTGGTCTTAAGCTTTTGGCCGGCAGTTTATATATATAATTACCACCCTTCACAAACTTTTTACTTGTTATAAAAAGACACTAGTATCCATGTCCTAACATGTTTCCCCCTATCGCCTCATACAACACCCACAAGCCAATACAACATAGTGAATAATCTTCCACCAACACTACACACAATCAATATTCATACAAACAAATAACTAATCGAATTTCTGAATGCAATTTGTACCCGTTTCCAAACAGCTAACTGACTAAAATTTCCCAGACATATTGAAGACCAATAACAATTATATATAACCTAATATTCTGTTTTAACTCATAACACCAACAACATATATACCAACCGCTTTAATAAATTAAAAAAAAGAAGAACTTAAGCATTATAAAATCTATACAGAATTCTGTATCCTGTGGTCTAAACAAAAGTCAGGTTTTTCTTTATTACAAAAGGATTTTATTGTATTTTGATAACAAAAAAAAACATACCAAGCGAATGTCGGCAGCGTGAAAATCACAATTATTTCAATATATGTTACTGGAAATTATTTACGTAAAAAGATAAATTATATTCTCACAAAAAACACTAATAAAACACTAGAAAAATTCAAAAATCAACACAATAACATTCACGCGAAAATGGCGTACGAAATAAATGTAGATTATAAATATTCATAGGATAATAGTTTTTTTGTTGCACTAGAGGATAGAGTATTTCATATTGATTATATAATGCCAAACTTCTTCATAGAAAAGTAGTCTCTATATATAAGTTTTTATGGGTTAAAGTGCTGTGGGTGAGTGCGACCTCATGAGACCGCTAGGGGGTTGAGAGGTTAATAAAGGTGTATATGTTCACATAACAGCGGTGGTTTAGGTTAGAGGCGAGGTACTAGTGGCACAATGTATGGGATGTATCGGTGCGTACCGGCTGAGCGCTGAACTTGTGACGCAGGCGCAGCGTGGAAGCTGCGCAGCGAGACGCTGGGCAGCGGCTTGTAGGAGCGCCGCGCGCGGATGCTGCGTAGCCCGCTCAGGTAGCTGTCCTCCAGCGATCCCGCCTCCTCCCCGCCCACAGAACACTCCGTGATGTCCATCTCCATCGTCGTGTTGTTGCCTGAAATTTCATATTTTAATTTTTCATAATACAGTGCTTTTTATTGCACATCAATAAAAACACATATTATTAATAAATGATAATTATAATCTACATTCACGCGATTTCCGCGAAATTATTCATTTTTGGCTTATTACATAACTTCACAAATACAAATATTATTTTGAATTAGCACAAAATATAAAAAAAAAGAATTCATTACTTTTATATAGATATGTAGCGTCGTTAGCAAGAAATATATTACAATATTTCAATAGCACTGTCTATAATATATATAATTTCTAATATAAGATTCCATAAAATAAAACGGATTTGAGGAGTGTTCCATTACCTTAAAAGTTTGGGGACTACTGGTCTAACCAATTGTAAATGGCTACTGTAGTTTATAACTTAAAATAAATGCTACAGTATCTTTTAAACAGAACAAATTTCACATTTCTCTTAAATAGAATAAGGGTGACAAACGAGCACACAGTCCACCAAATGGTAAGTGTATGCTGTGGCCCATAGACATCTACATTTAATCTAGGTTAAGAATCAAAATGCAGATGCATTTTCACTCCTGAGGACTAAGATTGAATGCCTCGATTCAAGTAAAACGGGTATCCGGTTCTCTACACTTACCATACAAAACAAGGCAGCATTAAGCTGCTACTTTACGCTGGTATTTTGTGAGAACGTGGTCCTTTCCCATTTGAGCCGAGCCATTCGAGTTACAATCATAATATACAATGTGGCTCTACCACGTGTTAGCTATATAATTCAAAGCTGAACCAAATGTTAAAAATTTTTAAATTATCACTTGTCTTTATACGAGTATACAATTATTCGCCGGTGTCGCAAAAGACAACAGAAGTAATAGTACAGGTGGGCACTATTACTTCTGGGCATACTTCTGGTTGGGATGGACAGCACCATTTTAGTGATAACAACTCAAAAGTATTAAAAAACTAGTTGCCAACCTGCCAAGTGTGATACTATGGCATATATTATCTTTATGGGGGAGACATATGTTTAGTATTAGGCTTTTAACGAATTGTTATAGATGGTCTGTTCTGTGGCATAGTGGCAGCACCAACGACTACATAGCCCGAGTAGACGCCACATGCAAGGCGAACACTTTCTGTCAACACGTTAGACAAATACGTCTTACTTAAGAAAACGATCGCACGATCTACTTTAGTAGCGACCACTTCCCTGACCCGTGAACATCTTGCTTGTGACTCGTGAATTTTCGAAAAAATAATATACAACAGACGCGCAACATGGTTCCCTGTACAATAAAATAGTGCAAAAATAGTAGTCAAATGTGTAATTAAAAAAATGGCATCACTTTTCATAGATAAGTGAATTTTAATTTCCAAATTCATTAATTAAAATTAAATCGGAGCTCAACCTATATTTGTCACAAGCAACGCGTGTTGATTTATTCGGACATCTTCGGATATTTTCGGACTATGCATCCCTTTCTTTTCGATGCAGTTCATTGTTGCTATACTTTTCTTTAATTACCGGCACGTGTAACTAGTGCTGCACCAGTTAAACTATAATATTGGTACAAGTAAATACTATGCATGTTATCGTGAATGTTTTACAGACATACTATAAGCAAAATAGATGTAAGCTGAATTTTTTTAGTGAATGTACGTTAATCCATATTTGAATTAATTGATTTAACCTGTAACCTCTGAAATCTCGCGACATGTTATACTCCCGTTCCCTCGGGACCTTAACGGCGGGAAAATTTCAAAAATTTGCTATATTTTCACTTTGAGACAATATTTATGGATAAAACTTACAGAAATTCTTGTTGAATGTATAAACTATCGAATAAAATTATTTTTGGTTGAAATACGGTACCTACTTAAAACTTCTTTTGTTTTTTTATTTTGTTCTAATTTATAGTAGAATATAATTCTGGTACCGATTGGTCGCTTTTATAATTTGCCGTAGGACGGCACGGCACGGCACGGTTTTGCCGTCACGGTAAAATAGGAAAGCAAAATGTATGAAATTGTATATGCAGACGCTTTTAATTTATCGGCCACGGCAACGGCATGCCGTGAACGGCAAACGTCTGCCGTGCCGTCACCGTAGCAAATAGTTTTAAGCTCAACCTAATTACAACCATCGCATTTAGTAATAAAGTCACAAATCTTACGATCACTTGGAAATGAAAAGACAAAAATTAAATAACCTTTGGTGTGAAATCAACCTTAACGTGTAACAAATAAAGTTCTTTTTCCCGTTATTGCCTTGCGAGCTACGTCATATTGTTATGTTTATGTTTTCTTCTTCAAATTTGGTCCAGGAAGTATTGAGTCGCGTTGAACACTAAAATAATTTATAATATGATCATTAGTTTAATTAAAATTATTTTTATGTTTTGGGCATTTATGATTGTTGGTATAAATACTTTCCACGCTAGCCATTAAATATAATATAGTATGTAGTATATATAAACCAAGAAAACCCACCCACCCCTTCAAACCCCCCCCCACCCCCCCACCCAAAATTGATTGCATTTAATTAACAAATTCAATATATATATCTATTTATTTTTTGTATGTATATATGTTCGTAGTATGTATGATAGTGTATAATATATAAATATGTGTATTCTTTTTTATCACACCAATTTGCCCTACTCCTGTCATCTTCATGTAATCCTGTCCATTTATTGGTTGTCTAGAAGAAATTGCTGTCAGCAATAAGATCGCCTATTGCATACTTTTAAAACGTGGTAGAGCCATGCTGCAATTATCGGCTCGACCGGGGAAGAAAGCTAGGAAAGCTAAAAAAAAATCTATGTATCTATTGGAATTACACAAACAAAGACAAAAGTAGCATTACCATTATTTAAAGTTTTAGTAACGAATTATTAAAAATCATTACAATACAAATCTACTTCATGCGTCCATGTTCTGTTTCACAAATGTTTGCGCGTGTATTGGTCAACATTGGCAAAACATTTGTAGGGGTGGTTTTGATCGGTAATTTTGTTTAAAATATATTATTTGTTAGTTTAGAGCTTAAAATATAACATATTATACATGTAATTACCGAAAGTAAGACACTCCGGCCGTTAAATTACTTTTTCGGGCATTATTCTTGCAACTTTTAAATACACATTGCGGCATTGTGAAACCTGTTCACATTGGCTGTGTTTCAAGTGAACTAAACAAAACAAGAGCTCACGTCTCATGTGCGCTGTTATTTACTTAGATGGATTTCTTACGCCGACCAGACATCTTGTTGGTATTGTTGATCGAAGTATAGTAACCTTACTGGAACTTGTTGAAACAAGACCATGCCTATGGGATAAATCATCGGACGCTTTTAAAGATAAAGTTGTTAAACAAAGGGCATGGAACGAGATCTTCCGCTTCTTGGAAGAACGTTATGATGAATTAACAACTGATGAAAAGAAACAAGTTGGTAAGATATTTTTTATTTATTGACTGAATAAAATGTTCAATAGATTATATTTTTTGTAATTGCCAGGGCAGAAAAGAATGTTGGATACATTGGAAATAAAATAATTCGCAAAACATGTTCGGACACCTCGTACTGATTTGTATGTTGATTTTGTTTTACTTGAGGGTAAACTGGTCAATACATCTTGGTTACATGAGATAACGTAGTTATCTCAAATGACCAAGATGGATTATGGCCATATATCCATCACACTCTCTGACAATATTATGTAGTACAATGCAGGCATTTACTATATCCATGCTTAACATTTTTGAGACATTTAGTGGCCGATGCAATATACGCCATTTGTTGCATAGTATGCCGAATGCACATTCAACGTATTGTTGCGCTCGAGAAAATCTATAATTAAAGAATCGTTGTTTCACACTCAGATTATGCCCACCATATGGTTTTAGCCTGTGGGCTATTATAGCTAACTAGCTATGGAAAGTAAATACCTATTTAGAATACATAGTACCTACAGTAATATTTGGATAACCTACAATAAAATACAAAAACATAAAGAAAACATAATTATGTTACACTTTTTTGTGTTTGTTTTAGAAATTGTTATACTTTTTTCAAAAAAAAGTTTTTTATGTTACCGTTTTTAGTTGAGAGTTATGTCCCTTTAGTGGGTACAGGCGTGATATTATATCGTGTGATTGTGTAAAGAATGCATAGATAGGCGATAGCAGCAATCGCGGTTGATTTGTTGTCATTTATTGAAGAGTGCCCCCGATTTCTCCAAGAGAATATCGTGGAGGCAGTTTACTAACATAAATTACACAAGGACAAACATCCAGACATGGAACAACTATTTGTAAGCCATACAAATATTTGTTCCGTGCGGGATTCGAACCCGCGGTGCCCAGCGCAGCCTCATTGCTAAGCCACTGCGATACGGAGCTCAAATTGCCGTTTGAGTTTATGTTATTATTCAAAAATGAATCGCATAGGTAGGTACGCGATGACGCCGTCTCGCATTGATGACGTCACTCGAGTGCGTATGTGTGTGCGCACTAGCTTCTTACTGCTCATCACAGCGTCTATCCCTTTCGCACGTGATGTCGGCTGAGATAGCATGCATTTTTACCCCGCCCACCACTTAGTTCGTGCCTTCGACTAGGGCAACCTTAAGTAGACTTGGTACCAAATTTATTAGTTAAAGTTCCCATCACTATTTGCTTATTAGCAAGTGTCGCAACCTTGATTTTAACCGATTAGCGTGCATTTCAACCCGCCTCCCCCGTACCGCTTACCTCAGACTTTTGACAGACGCGGATGGATTGGATGCAGAAGTACAATACATTAGGCATCAATTCGGGCTGTGTAGTCGTTGGGGAGCACGGATCAAGTATTCGTATGATCCACAAAACCCTCAACAATATGGGAGAAAATATTAGTGGAGGTAACGTTTTTTAAAAATCAACTATAGAACTTAGACAAAGAAGAACATCGTCAATGTGATGGTAAGTGGATGCTGTGGAACATAGACATGCATTGCCAACTCAACAGAATTATTATTGTTTCCAGTAAAAAGTCTTTGGTTTCCTACACTCACCATAACAGCAACACTATTCTACGGTTTTATTCATATATTCTGTGAGAGCCTGATTCTTACCCGGACAAACTGACCCATTTGTGCTACAACTATAAGCACTTCAAGCCGCTAGTCCTGCGTCAGATTTTCGATATGACACGCGCGTTACCTACTGTAAGTTAATTGTACTATGCCTATAACCTTAAAGCAAGTTTTAGCGCAATCTGATGAACAGTATGGCAGCGCATAAAATACGAACAAACAAATATTAATTTTGATAGAATCAGGCGTTACTTTGCGGAAATCCATTATAATAAAGAAATTAATTAATTTGCAACCTACCGCTAATTAAATACAATGATGTGTTTGACCGCTAAGAAATATTAGCGGTCAGCCGCCGTAGAGTCTACAGCACCTGAGGATGCCTCGTATAGAGGCGAAACACGTGTCGTATTGTCGTCGATGGTGTGTCTTTCCTGGAGTAGTGGTGCTGGGATTAGTGGTGACGGGATTGGTGGATACAATTGAGGAAGGGCGGGGCGGGAAGTGCTCTTCAATCCAGGTAAGACACATCATTGTATTTAGTTAGCGGTAGGTTGCAAATTAATTAATTTCTTTAATTTTAATTTTTATATATTATATTAGTCACAATGGTTAGATAGTGGTGTATACCGACCGGTGTAGTTGGCGAGCAGCGAGCTGGCGGTGGTGTCCGCGGCCTCCGCGGCGTCGGGGCTGGCGTCTGCTCGCCGCACGCGTCGGTACGGCGACACGCGCACGCGAGAGCGCGAGTACTTGGTGTCGCGGCGCCGGACGCGCTCTGTAAAGCGCACCTCACACTACACACATCGTCGCACTGCCCCCCACCGTCCCCACACACATGCACCATTACAACCCATCAAATGACAACTGTGGTCGCGAACGCGATTTAAATATGGGCAGAATTAATATTGCTAAGAGGGCAACATTGGTTGAGAGAGGGGGAAGTGACTTAAATGTTAGTGTCGAATTAAGAGTCAGTTGGAAGTTGTGGTTCGAAGGAGAGACTACTCTCCAGCAAGAGTTGCTGTTGCGTCTTGGCAAGAAGATATTAGTAAGTGTTATATATTATAATATCTTACTGCATTTCAAATATTTTTGTATGGGCTGTTAAGCTATCATATAGGTCGTCCTAGTATAAACACCAGTCTCTCACAAGTTGATTGTATAGCATAATATTAATATTAAGTTGTATTGCATGCCTTAAGCGCAAAACATGTAGGTATGTTCTACTAGCGCCTAAAAATCAAGAATCCAACGTTTGTCGAATGAAATCTTATCTAACAATCATATTTTATGTTATTTTCTAAAATTGTGAGAGAAAATAATAATCTTTATTATTATTATACATTAAAGCAACAATTCTAGAAAAACTCACCTTCGCTATTGTCTCCTTCAACTGTAACTTCTATTTCAACTCTCTCAGACTTCTCAACAATCACCTTTTCCTGTTTGTCATCTTCTTTATCCTTCTTTTCTTCATCTACTTTCTTCTTTGGTGATTCATGAACTGTATCACTCTTCTTTTGACTGTCTTGTTGCTTTTTGGGCGACTCCTTCTCCTGTGGCTTCTTGTCTGATGGTTTGGGCGAGTCCGAGGAACGTAGCTTGCGATCAGTTACTTGTAGGTCCTCTTTCAATTTGAGCAGCTTTGGCTCCTTCGACTGGAATAACATAACAAAACTTAAATATTTTTATAAATAAAAGATTATTGAAGATAAAAGTAGGAGTTGCCCTGTTAAAAGTCGAACATGTATACAAGAAACTTTTTGATATAGTGTACAATAATCAGAATATGAACAAAGCCAAGCCCATTTTTACTCGTAATTATTCTGATTGGTGGTTATAAATTGATATGTATCTTAAAGAAATGTTTTGATGCTAACTCTTTTTCTCCTTGAGTAAAACTATTTTTATAGATTTTATCGCGTTTAACTTGTTTTCAGCTCCAGAAATTTCGAGTGGTTTGCAGCATTCATGGTCATAATATGGGGACTGAGGTGTTTGTGTCCCAATTCTTTTAGATAGAATAAGGGTCACAAACAAACACACACATGACAATCGTAGTGCTATATATCTCGCACCAGTAACAAAGTACTTGTACATTAACTAGTGCACCAGTGAGGGCAGATGTGATGCTTATGTTACATCTCTTCCACTTCCACATCATGATCTATATGGGGTAATTGAGATTTGACTGGTTTTTCGAATAGTCACCTCTTACAAGACGTTTTTTGTTGTAGCATTTGAATTCCAAAAACTTTTTGGAATTACAAGGGGTGGTGGGAGAAGGTGAAAAATTAGAACTAACATAATGTCAAACATTATTGCTTAAATTCAAATAATATTAATATGTATCCAAATAATTACATTAGCCATTTCATGAATAATGAAATTACACAATAAACATGTTCAACCGATAATAAATTTAATTAAAACAAAAAAAAACAGCAAACAGAAGTGCAATTGTAAAAAGTAAACACAATGTCATTAATAATCAGCTGGTGTACAAGGAAACACTGAAACCTACCACAGTTGTGTATTGAATTGAATTTTATTTGTATACTTGTGTATAATAAGTTAATAAGTACGGAAAATTCAATGTTGAAAAGAGACAGAATGTAAACAGTCCATAAAGTCCCACTGCTGTGTATGAACCAACCTATATTTCTGAGAGATGGAGCAGGGAAATAGACAAATATTCCAATCGTGCCTGCACTGTTAATCCAACTTCGATTTCACTTGGATGACAAAATTTCATGATATATATTATGTCAACTTTTTATAGGGTACTGCATTACCCATAGACCTAATGCAAATGTATTAGGATAAAGTGGGAATGCCTTGACATGAACTGGTCCAGTCAAGACAGAGACAAATGAATGAAGCGAGGGATTGGGACGGGAGACCGAGAATGACAAATGTCTTCATTTCCAGTACTGTACTAGCTGAGACCAAGATGCCAGACTATGAACGTGCAGTGTATGTCACGGTCACAATCTCGCCTGCGAACTAAACACATACGCTTTCGTATGTGTTTAGTAGTAAAGGCAAGTAGCAGTATCGGTCTCCTGTCTTTCAAAACTACAATCAATATACTACAATTTTACTCTGGTATTTTGTGGAAGATTTCCATTCCTATCGATGGGAACTCTAATCGCTACAAGTAGCAGGGCACTTCCAGGTATTTTTTTAAATAAAATTGAGGTGACAAACAAACTCACAGCCCACCTGATTGTAATGGGCTAATACGACACATAGACACCTGCAACCAACTTCAAACTTGCTTCGGCCTTGGACTCAACGAACTCCAACAACTGGTGGCGGTCGGTACATTCCAGTGATACATTTCGGAAAGTAGGAGCCAAGGTAGGTAGGCTTAAGTTTTGGAGGTGTTGAATCTCACAAAATTTGCATTGCCCCATTGGAGACAGCCTATAGTGTGAAACTCACATGCCCAAACAAAAACATACATTGTCACCTCGGAGAAAAAGATCCTGTAGTTAGTTATACTGGTTCTCCATACCATGAAACAGAATCAAAGCAACACAGGCAATACTATACAGCGATAGAAAACAGGTGACAGCTACTCAGATACACTAGATAAAATAGGAGACCAACCACCCTAGTAGACATACATGTGAAGTGTGGTCACATTCTATGAGGTGATCGCCACCATTTCAGTTCTATATAAATTCATTTAAAAATTGTAAAACAAATTATTGTAAACTTAAATATGTTGAAACAAAAAGAAGAAGCACGAAAGTAGAATAAACGCTGTAGAAATGCGGTCTTTAAGGAGTATGCTAGGGTTGAATCTGAATGACAGGGTGAGAAATTGCGTGATAAGAAATAAATGTGGTATGCAAGATGATGTTGTGACCAGGATTAAGAAAGAAATGCTTCGGTGGTTTGGTCATGTGGAAAGAATGAACGAGGAGAGAAGCAAATTTATATTGCAGATGTGAACGACAGAGTCGGAAACTTTCTAGGGCCTGGACGAGGGTTTATCGACAAAATTGGCGATATTTAGAAAATGAACCACAAAGGAAAATACCCCTAACAGACGAGCGTGTAGACGTAGATATATGTATATAAAGGAGGCGAGAGAGGTGTGTCAGGAGGTCACACCATGGTCCATAGTTTCTGCCTACCCCTCTGGGTGACAGGTGTAAGTGCTTATGTATGTACAAAAAGTCCCGCTAGGTTTCTTCCTGATTCTTCCTAGGATAGACGTGTTTTCTGAACCAGTGGTAATTAAAAAAATTACTTTAAATAAATATTATGCAATAATCTATATTGAAAGAAATATCATTCATTTAATTTCATTCCATATAAGATGTATAAGCAATGTGTGTTATGTGTAGTGTGTATGTGACTTACATCGTCTGTTTCCTTGTCGGCTTGTTTATCAGCTTGTTTGTCGGAGGCAGGTCTGGGTGTCTCTGGAGTGCGTGTCACCTTCACCTTTGTATGGAACATCACCGGCTTGTTAGGGAGTTAGTACTGCATCACACTCCACAAATGAGACGTAATCTTAATTTTGGGTTAATAAAACCTACCAAAAAATAATGAATAGGTGCAAACAGATTCATAATGTGCCACAAAAACCTGGGAAAACAACTGCGGGGTAAAACTCCAGTGGTAATCTAAACCAAACCAAAAGCTAATGTTGCCACACCTAAAAAAAAATTATATTAATTAGTCTAATCATGCTAAATACATCCTCTATGTCCTTAATTTACCCTATTCTATATTTTAAATTTGTCCCTAGACATCTAGCTAACATAGTCATATTAATAGGTCGGCGAAAAAGTTTCTTTGTATTTTGTTTGTATAAAACTGGAAGAAAAATATCTTTGGATGAACTAATTTAAGATAATCTTAACATTTTTTTTTTGGAATTGCATCATTATTTTTAGAATTTGAAGTTAAGTTGAAAGTAACATAACTACAAATTGTAAGATTAAATAATCTTAACTATCAATGTTCTACAAACTGTTACCACAACCCAATAATGAACACAATAAAAGAACGCCAAAAATGAAAAGTTTACAAAATAAATGATGAATTGCATAAACTTAAATTAATCTTTGAACATATTATTCATTATATTTAAAATTTGTATCTTACGTTGCTTCAATCGGAACTATCAATGTTCTACTAACGGCTACCACAACCCAAGGATGGACGAGCACAACAAATAATAAAACTCCAAGAATGAAAACCGATGACAACCCGGAAGGCAAGAAACGAGTCTCACCTGCGACCTCCGAGTGAAACTTCTGCTCGGGGCTTCGTGTTCGAAGCCGTCGACGTCCGAATTATCATCGTACGTGAGCTCGGGGAATATTTCGTCGTTCTCTTGTTCGACGATGATCAGCTCGTCTTCATCGGACTCACTCACCGTGCCGTTGGTGACTTCTTCCATTCCATTCTGCTGCTGGCTCGCGTCGCCGTTCAGTTTTGCCGTGTCGGGCTTCCGCGTTTTCTCGTCATCTTTATCCGCCTGTAATGTAAAATTAAATTAATTCCTTTTAAATAACACCGACATAGTTTTTTCTAAATAAAATTATACAAAGCAACACGACTAAAGCCGGCAATGAAAGTGTTCATTGCAATTTTAAGTGCTGATTTACCGCCGTGCTCGGCGGTGAAGGAAAACATCGTGAGGAAACCTGCGTATCGGAGAAAAAAGAAAAAAATCTTTAGTCATGTAAAGTTCGCCAACACGCATGGGGCAACGCGGACATTTGCTTGCACTAAAACCTTCTCAGAAATGAGAGGAGGCCTGTGCTCTGCAGTGGGACGTAACTTTAACTTTTTTTTTAAATATTTTTCAATCGTAAAATAAGTTATCTGTCGAATAAATCATAACCTGACAGATTAATAAAGTGAAACAATTGAACTATTTTATTCTTACAGCTGTAATTTTAATTTGTTCATATTGTATTTTATTCTATGAAAAACCGGCCAAGTGCTAGTCGCATGCTCGAGCGTACCACCGTAGAAGATTTAATACTATGTAGGTACTTTGTAAATAATCTTTTAATTGTAAAAGAAACAAATGAGGCGTAACAATACCTTACAAATCTTTATCCCCCTTTAATTTTTAAATATTATTTTATTTGATTATATTTTTTCAGCAAATATAGCAACACAAACTCTGTGAACATTTCAATCGTCTATATGTTGCCATTACGAGGATCGAGCAAAAAAAAAACAGATTTCTAGTAGGGGAACTCGCTTTAATTTTTAATTTATTTTTATTATTTGTTGTTATAGCGGCAACAGAAATACACATTCTATGAAAATTTCAAATATCTACCTATTACGGATTATAAAATACAGCCTGCTAACATTTGGGGATTGAAAAACTGACCCTAGTAGTAAATAGTAGTAAGTAGGTCAAATTCATGGACCCTTATGTGGATTAAAGAATATCACAAGCTGAAAGTGACAACTAGAAAGTTGTCAGAGTAGGTCGATAATAAAAGATCTAAAACTTTTTCCCATTGTTCCCCATCCTTAAACGGAATTTAACTCCAAATTTATATGACTCACCTTTAACTAACATATTAAATAAAGAAACTAATAATTAAAAATCAGTTCACAATTGACGAAGACATTGCGAAAAATACATACAAAAAACAAACAAATCGATAGTGTAGCCTTTCTTTGTTTTCCGAGTTTCTTTTTTAAAATCTAAGTACATCTCAAAATTAAATTAAACTACAATACCTTTCCATTCTTCTCTGCACTGCTGCTGTCATCCTTAGACTTCGGAGCAGCTTCCTTCTCATCTTTTTTGTCCGAGCTCTCTGCAAGTTTATCCTTCTTCCCTGGTGTATTTTCAATACTTTTCTCCCTACTTTTGTCTTTCTTTTCTGCAGGCTTTTCTGTGTTTTTCTCTGTAGCTTTCTCTTTTTTGTCTGAAGCCTTTTCTGAATTTTTCTCAGCGGCTTTTTCTTTTTTATCTGCAGACTTTTCTATGTGTTTCTCCGCATTTTTTTCTTTCTTGTCTGCATTCTTCTCCGCGACCTTTTCTGCCTGTTTATCTGCTGCATTTTTTTCCGCTGCCTGCTTCTCCTTCTCGGCATTCGCTGCAATTTTTTTCTTCATTTCCTTCACGGGGCTATCGGTCTGGCGCTGTAGATTTGAACAAGTCGTTAGCCAATACTTTTCTATTCGTACATATTTCCTAATCTCGACGAACAATAAAACTAAATTAAATATTTGATCTCTGTACTGTAAGTACGAGCCGGCAATCATCGACACGGTAATTTTTTTTATAAAAGTTAAGTCCAACACTAATTCAAAATTAAAACACTACATGCCTACTTGCAAATGCTTCTGGAAACCTACTTACATTGAATCGGAATTAGTGTAAAGCAAAAATCAATTTGTAGAGGACTTTTATGTATGGATGTAACAATAGATCAGTATTATTACAAGTTTATTTATTTGAAAGAGAGACTCAAAATGACGTAACAACGATATCAATAGAGTCCAGAAATTCTTACCTTATCTTTATCCTCGCCGACCGGCCCCTGGCGCGTCACTATCTGACTCATGATTCACCTGAGAACAATAGCGAAAGTACACTTTAAAAACTGATAGTAACAATCGAGTTAACTGATCCACCCGAGGTCATGTATTTAATCATAATGTATAGAAGTATGTCTATACACTATGATTACAGGGTATGACCATCCATTCATTAAAACCTATTAAAGTCCGCTGCATAGGCCTCCCCCATAGATTGCTTCATAGGGGGGATACTTTTTGCCTTCATACATTTTGCCATAGTGGCCACAGCAATCTGCTTTTTTATAATTTGAGATTGTAATCAGGAAGATGCTGCTGTCCATGACCTGTTCCAGTTTCCTTCTGTCGCCTCTTGTCGCGCCGCGTGTAGTGGCGGTGTGAGAATATCCACTGCCCCATAGCGTCCCGTGCGTGTCGTGAGAGGCGACAGAGGGAAACTGAAACAGGAGATGGGCTACAGCGTCTTCCGAATCACCATCACTTTACAAGTCCACTGCTGAGCATAGGCTTCCCCCGAGAAATGACACAAAGCACTGTTCCGAACCACCTCTACATATCGACTTCCTGCATGTCTTCACCAGCATATTCATCTTATAGAATAATGGTGACAAACCAGCACACAGTCCATCTGATGATAAGTAGATGCTGTGGCCCATAGACATCTACATTTATCCTCGATTAAGGATCAAAACGCAGGTGCGTTGTCACCCCTGAAGACTAAAATAGAATACTTCGTTTCCAGTAAAAAAAGTGTCTCGGGATCTCTACAATCACCATACGTAACACAGCAGTATTAAGCTACTATTTTACGCTGGTATTCTGTAAGACCGTGTATTGCCCCGGTCGAGCCGACCCATTCGTGCTACAACCATAATATAGCTGCAGCGTGGCTCTACCACGTGTAAAGATATCTTCCTAATAACATCTCTGCATATTCTTCGCAATGACAACTATAAAATTAAAATAACAACAGCAGTATCCAATACGCCTGCCAAACGTGCAAAAATAGCGAATATTTATATTTTACATGTGGAAATGAGCATACCCTAAGGATACCCTTTCGGGAGCAAGGACGCGTTACCACTTTCGCCGCACATTGGCAGGGCCACAACGCTTTCGCAAATACATTTTGGGATATGTAAGGGAATTGGTATAAAAGTATTTTAAATTACGATAGCGTGATTTCTTTATTACAGTCATGTTTTGAGTTAATGAGTTTTTAATAGTCTCAGCCGCTCCATTTAGAGGTCATCGGATTTTACAATGAGACCGAAGAAGGCGGCCGCCTCTCTAAAATTACACTCGGAAGGGAAAAAAACTTCTGTCAATTACATAGCTATACGGCTATCTTGGCATACTACTAAGTCTACAGATAAAATAAAACTTTAGAGTTGTACGTTCCATAAGGTTTAATAGTTCATACTACGCGAGTATATGATGAATTGAACCATTGAAACCAATTGATGATTGATAAACGAAATTTTTATTTATATGTCGAAGAAATATCATATTTACTTCATTAATTCTTAGCTTTTTAAACGTGGTAGAGCCAAGCTGCAGCTATATTATAGTTGTAGCGGGAATGTGTAGACTTTTTTAATTTAATTTATTAATGAATTAATAAATACAGTGGTGTTACTTAATTCTAAACTCGCCAAACTTTTACGTTTGATGGCGAGAGGCGCTCTTTTACATAGCAATGAAATGAAGTTGAACCACCTTATGTACTCCTAATATTGGACACAATTATATAATAAAGTAATTTATAAACCTATGACATCTCGTTGTTATGTTAACTATATAACCGTGTGTATACATGTAACTTTAATTTATAAATTAAATACCTAATACCTATATTGAAGCGACAGTAGCCTAGTGGCAGGGACACACTATTTGACTACTGTTGTGAACCAATCCTAACACAAGCATTTTTAGCTTACCAGGAGTGGTTAAAGGGAATATTAGTAATGTTAATTAATAGGATTACTAATATTTTTCTAAAAAAAATATATATTATATTGTTATAGTTTATCTACTAGAACCAATGTAAAATCAGCTTAATACTGTTATATTTCGTATGGCGAGTGTAGAGAACCGGAGACCATTTTTATCTGAGAAGAGAGAAATGTTAATGGGCCACATCATCCACTTACCATCAGGTGTACTGTGTGCTCAACTTTATTATATAATAATTATAACTTTTAACAAAAAGTAAAAACCGACTTCAAATTGCTGAAAAAAAAGTTATTTATTAGCGACCCTTAGGATTGCAATTTTTCCCCAAATATAGGACCACTCTTGAAGTATAATTTATTTGAGAAAAAAAAATCATTAAAGAACCGCTTTATCTGCGAAGATATATAAAATTCCCTAAACAATAGCCCTTTTTATAGTGACCTTTTTTACGTAGCCGGTTTTTTAAATTACTGTTTTAATCTTCAAGCTTGTAAGATAATTTGCATTTCAATTAGTGACGCATTGAATACGAATACGAATATTCGTATTCGCCGAATAGCAGAAATTTTTATCTAATATTCGTATTCGACTTCGGCGATTGCAAATTTATCGCCGATTGCTGATACATTGGCCTTTTGGCGAGATGTCCATTTTCCAAGGCTGGAAAAACTCGCCCAAAATATTTTTCACTGGAAACATGTACAGAGTTGCCTCGGAAAAGCTTTTTTCAACAGCTGCGCACAATCAGACTGAAAAAAGAAATCGCCTAAAACCAGAAAAGCTACAAAATTTATGTTTTTTAAATAAAAAATTGCCTATTGTAAATTCTAATTATTAGAACAATAGAAAATCATCAAATGAATTATTTATTTATTGCCATGGCGAGATATTCGTATTCGCCGAATAGAGTAGGTTTGATATTCGTATTCGTAAAAGTAGTATTCGTTGCATCACTAATTGCAATTGATAACTCTGTAGTAAATATAGAAGAATATTATATAGATATAGAAACACCTTAACCAAAGTCACTTCACGTAAACAATGCTATTACCTCCACTTTGTTATTATACTAATTTATTCCTGTCTAACCATCACATAACTCTATCATTCGGTACGAATAAGCGCGGGGTGAACGACCTCGTAGACTTGTACAACACGAATGCGGCGTATGGTCTAATTCATTCAATTTAGATGTGATTTTTCAATCATCACACACATAAAAGTTATTTATAGCATAAAATAAATAATAAACAAATTAAAAATTACAGTCACAAATTACAGAATAAAATAGTTCATGTTTCTTTTATATATTCGGTAAGGTAATTCATTAATTTACAACTTTTATCTGACGATTGAAAAATCAACCATTCGCATAATTAATATTATAATATATTAAATGACATTATAAGAAAACTGCTTTATAAAACGTTGATATAAAATAAGTAATGGCCATTAAAGGTTGCCAATGAGCGCATAACTAAACAATACAAAAGTATATTAATATAAATAAAAAGTATCCCAAAACGGACGTTTTCCAATAAATTGCAACTCATCATAATTATTCCTATAAATGTCATATAACCTTGAAAGAAACCTAAGTTCAGCAGTGACCTTGTTTTGGGCTGTAAAGATGATGATTATGATAATGATATTCTTTATTTGGACATAGGCCTACATCACATACAGGCCACAAAGCCATAAGGCACGGTTCTGAACATTTTTTAGAAGGTCAGCTAACGAGTACACAGCCCACCTGCTGTAAGTGTAGCTACTTTGGGCCATAAACACTTACTTCTACACTCTAGTCTAGGGTATGTTCCGAAATATTTCCAGTATACTGGCGAATATAAATGACGTCATTAATTGACGCCTATTGTAATGGCGTGCCGCCGCCATATTGTGTCGGATACCCTGCTATATTCAAACAATTTTTGATTGTGTGTACGCTGAATTAAGCATGCCAGAATTTGTTTTTATTTATTCAAATACAAAAATTATAGAATAATTACTGGTATTTCCATTCTTCACAAATTAATTGAAACAGGATATAATGACTCTTGGAGCACAAAATAACAAAATAATCTCCAACACTTTTCCAATATGGCGCAAATGTATGATGTCATATACTGTCCAATGTTTTTAAAAGAATCACCAGCATGGCGTCGATTTATAACGTCACTTGCATTGGCCAGTACACTGGGTTCTATTCTGGAACATATCCGTAATCAAAATGCATACACAGGCACAAGACATAACGAGCACACAGCCAACCTAATAGTAAGTAGCTGCTTGGGGCCATAGACACCTACTCCTCTTTTCTTTCTACCTACACCTTTTTCATACTCTAATCAAAATGCAGATGCGTTGTCACCCTCAAAGACTAAGTTGTAATGCCTAGTTAACAGTAAAAAGGGTCTCCGGTTCTCGTCACTTCATAAAACGATACTCAGAAGCAATATACTGCTCTTTTACGCTGGTACTGTGAGAGCGTAGTACTTCCACGCTTGAGCCGACTTATTCGTGCAGCACCCATAATAAACTATAGTGTAGCTCCACCACGTATATAAATACTATTAATGTTTCATCCATCATGTGTCAAAAATCCCGCTTCATTCCGTAACTTGGGCCACAGGCCAATCTTGACACGCTCACTCACACAAACTGCTCTGTCGTCTCTAAAGGGTCGCAGTTTATTAGCTTTATGAACCACATGTTGGCTTTCTCCTATACTTATAAATAGTTATTGTTTTTTTTTTACTAAGTAAAAATTAGGGGAGGCAGTTGGCAATCAAAAATGAACCTTATTACTGGAATCGTATTTAGGTGTAATACGTTAGCAAAAAAGAATAACTCCTGTCACGGTAATATTATCTATACAGTATTCCAACTTCATACAAACGGACGAAGCGAGAGCTATGCCTACGCGCCTCGATCTCGGCATGCGCTCGGCATGCAGACAGTCGAGACTGTGCCGCAGTCATTATTTTGTGAAATATATAAAAAAATGGAGGAAATAAATAATAGAATAGAAATAAAGAAATAATAAATCTGAACTTCATTTAAAAAAAAA